GTGTGAAATAAGTTGTAGTCAGGACAGCATTGTTTCTGTTTGCTTGGCACTGGGGGACAGACCATTCCCCAATCTGCTGTCAGCCCTAGCAGATCAGGGAGTCTGCCGGGACTGAAGCTTTTCTGGACTTCCCCGTAGACTTAAAGCAGCATCAGGAAAAACAAAAACAAAAACAAAAAAATCCAAAAAAACCACAAAAAACAAAAAACGCTGACCCCAGTAATGTGCAATTGCCTAACGATTTTTTAGAGGTGGTGTGGGTTCTCCTCACTTGAACTGCATTCAAGCTAGAGTCGAAGGGGTGGGACTCTGGCAAGGAGGCCAGAGCATGGCTCCCCCTGGGTGAAGCTGTGGGGAGGAGAGTCAGAGAAAGCACGGGGAGTGCCCGGGAGAAGGGAGCCGACGGGGGCAAGTCCAGCTCTCTGCCCTCAGTCGGGTCTCTGGGCTCGGGGACAATGGAACTTGAACCGCTCATACTCTGTGAAACATCCCTCCCTCCGAATCTACCCAATTCTTGCTGTCAAATTTCAAATCATACAGAAGTTTATGGAGGAAAATCTACAAAGCCCCCTTTGTGCCCCCACCGTACCCTGGCTGCCCAAAGCTTTATCCTTCCCGCTGGTCTTTTTTCTCTGCCCGCGTGCACTTTTTGCTCTGGTTTTTACGTCCGTGTATTCAGGTATGCTGTAACTTTCGTGCTTCACAAAAGCAGAGCCCCTCTGTCTTCTCAGAGCTGTATTATATTTCGGATGGTGGATACGCGCTACTTTATCAAACCATTAATCCTCCCTCCCAATGGACATCTATGTTGTCTCCAGTTTTTCGCTAATGAAGAGTGCTTTAGTACATGCGTGTACAGTTGGGGACACGTGAGTCTTTCGAGAGGAAGAATGTGTGAACTTGTAAAATCAAGAAGCTGTAGAAAATTCAAAGCCCTGTTTTTTTTCCCTTCTGTCGGGACCCTTTACGCAGGTGCCTTACCACTTAGTTGTAAGTGGGTCTCATCCTCCCGCCTGCCCTGGTGGAGGCTCCGAGCCCCCAGGGAGCCAGGCAGTGCTCAGGTGTGACTGACTCTGGAAGTTTTTCCCAAGCTCTGGCCCCGGGCTGGCAGGAGTGGAGTTGCCGGTTTATCCCAGCAGAGAGTGGCTGGTCCCAGTGGGAGGAGTGGTCTCCCCTGGGTCCGGGTCAGACCACCGCTGCTTCCCAGCATGCACAGACCAGCACACTGGCCCAGAGGCCTGACCGCTTAGACAGGAGCACGGATCCTTCCCGAAGGACGCAGAATGCTGTCAGCTGTCTGTGTACCGGCTGAGGCGATCTGCTCTTGCTGGAAGGCAGCTGGGATTCTGGTGCGGGACACTCAGGGAGTTAAACGTGGCCCCTGTGGTCCATTAGGTGGCCCCCTCCCTCCACCGGGACAGGAAGGGAGGTTTCCTATGGCCTGCTAGGAGCTTTGTCGTCAGGCCTTTGGGACCCAGGGGCCTGGGTAGACGCTCCATAGTTTGCCATATTGGTGGCTCTGAGGGTGTCGCTTGAGGAAGGTTCCTCTCTCCGGCGGTGGCCACACACCGTCGCTGGGAAGGCATCGAGGGGACGTCCCTGCCCCAGCCCTCCTGGTGGACACTCGCTCGGGCAGACGGGCCTTTGCTGCAGACCACATGGGACGTACGGTGCAGACGGTCTTCGTCAAATCATATTCTTTTCTGGAAACGGCCCTGGATTCTTTCCAAAACCAAATGCATGAAAAGTAGCGGAAGGACGGGGCTGAGCCGTTGTGAGTCGTCGTTCCCTCCTTAGTGCCCCGTTGGGTTTGCAGGGAGTTTGAGGGCTACAGTTTATTTCCTTTCCTCTCTGTGCCTCCTTCCTTCTCTTGACCACTAAGGCTGCCCGCCCTGGGAGGGAGTTCCGGGGGTCCCCCTGGGGGAAGGGGCTGGTCAGGGCACGGGCCTCGGGCTTCAGCTCCTGGGCTGATGGGTGGTGGGAGATCGGTGATGGGGGGTGAGCTGGCTTTCACGCTCAAGCCAGGAGCCTCGAAGCCTCTGTTCCCCCCTTCAGTCCTGGCTGGAAGAGTCTCACTGTGCCCCCCGAAGGCAAGGGAGACGACAGCTGAGGGGAGCCGTGCCCCGCGAGCAGGTAACTCTTCCAGCTCAGAGGACCGGTGATGGCTAAATCAGGTCCTCATTGCCCAGAGGGCAGAGGTGGAAACCAAGTTTGGGGCCCCAGCCCTCCCCCACCGTGGCTGGAGCTCTGGGATTAGCAACAGTTAGCAGCCCCAGAGGGTGGATCTGGACACCTTGGCCTGGTAATTTACAAAAGGGCAGGGCGTGAGAGGCCGGTGACTTCTCCTAGTCCTCCGTGCCCGTGTGGGTCTGGCTGTCCACACTGAACAGTGCCCGGCGCCTGTCTGCCGAATCGTACTGGAGGCCCGAGCTCGCTCACTGACTCCTTGTGGTGAGCAAAGAGCTGGGGGTGCTTAGACCCAGTCAGGCTAACCAGGGCTGGGGCTCATTCCTTCCTTTTCGGCCTGTGGACGGTCCCGTGGATGGCCCGGACCCCGGGCTCTGTGGCTGTGTGTGCCGAGGCCTTGTAGGGTTGTGCCGGTGTGGACTGAGGAGGGAGCCCCGCCTGTCCCGGGCCCACCTCTGCCCAGCTGTGGGGCTTTGGCCTGCCCTCCAGTGAGCTCCTCCGCTCTGCAGGGACTCCGGGGTCAGATGAGGTCATGAGGCGAAAGCACTTCATAAACTAGGCCATGCTGCAGGTGTGCTTCATTTTAAGGAAATGGGAGAAAAAAGGGGTCACCACATTAGAACCATGAAATCCTTGCTTTGTTCTCTTCTGGAATTGGGGGCTTCGAGGGATGGGAAGGGGAGGGTCAGCCCCAGGCAGGTTAGTGGCCAGGGGGAGGTGGAAATCGTAGCTTCAAAGCACGCCACCCCGAGGCCAGTCCAGTGGGTCAGGGAGCCCTGGCTCCTCAAAGGTGTCCTCGGCTGCCCCTTGTGCCTACGTCCTTTGGGGGTCCTTAAGCTGCCTCTTAGGACGGGGCGGTCCAAAGTCTCGTACGTGAGGAGTTTCTTTGTCCTAAATGTGATCGTGCTGAGTCTCCGGGGGTGCTTCCTGTGCTTGTGTGTCTGTCTGGTCTGGCCCAAGTTGGTGGTCACAGGGCGTGGGGATCCTCCTGGTGGGGTGCTCCGAGGACCACCGGCTTCCCAGCTCTGGGCCCTGCAGCTGGGAGGCCCAGGCTTCTCCCCTCAGCAGCGGGGACATGGGGACCTGCTTAGGTCACTGGGACAGGGACCAAAGGCCACTTTGAACATACAGAGAAGAACTGCCCAGAAGCCTGCAGGTGGTCTCCACTAACTGAGATTTAGGGTTAGGTCACCTGCTGTGAGTTTTGAGGCTAAGGAACCAGTCCTGGGAGGCAGCAGAATGTCTCACTGGTCAGGGATTCTGTTCTGAAGGTAAACCTATCAAACTGCCCCTCTCTGCTCTCGCCTGCATCTCCCTCCAGGTAGGGACATGTATTACTTAGGCAGTTAAGAGATCATTTCACATGCGGAGCAAGAATTAAGGGGGGCTGTCCTTTTTGCCAAAGGGACGGGGCTGGGGTGGGGTGGGGTGGGGATTTACAGAGCGTCTGCTATGCCCTAGATTCTGGATTGGGCCCTTTGGTTCTTGGGTGCCTCTGTAAGATGGTGCTGGGGTCCTGAGAATGCAGCTGGAGACAGGTTAGCGAGTCAAGTTAAACAGCAGTGAGGAAGGAATCAGGATTCCCACCCAGGAAGGTCTGCTCTCGGGATGGGTGCTTTTTCCAGCTAGGTGTCCTCATACCGTTAGCGTAGGTGGACCAGGGTTGCTCATCCTCCTATGTGACCTGGGGTCCACTTTGGATGAACTTGGCACAGAAACTCGACTTGGGATCAGTCATTACCTATGACCCATGAGAAGGAAGGAAAACCACCTTCACATATGAGATCACTCCTAGCGGGGCGCCCTTGTTCCCAGGGTCACCCAGTGGGCTGCCGACCCAGGGCCGTGTCCTGCAGGGACTTCAGGGCCCTCGAGTGGATGGGGCCCCAGTAGAAGACAGCTCTCCTAGCTGGGGCATTTGGGGAGAAATGACCATTTCTTGGCACAGTGGTACTTTGGACTGCATTCTCTGTGGATATTGGTGACAGTTCAGAGTGTTGGCCTCACGTTAGGTCAGCAGGAAAGACAGTTAAGACAATTGCCGCCTACTCCCCCTGCCCCGAAGTGCGGCAGGTCGTGACTTTTGTGCTTTGCACAAGTTGTAAGAAGGGAACCTAGGCAGTGGCCCACAGCTCCAGACAGCTGGGTGGCTGCCCTTTGTTGAAAGCCCCACGACAAACCCAGGGTCTGCAGGTTTGGGGTGCAGTCAAGCTGCAGGGCGTTGCACACCTCTGGTCTTCATGAATGAGAACTGAAGGTGGCCCAAGACCCAGGTTTCCGTGCACATTTGGCAGGAAGGCAAAAGGCACTGAGTCCCATTTTTGTTGCACACGTGGGAGGGGGATCTCAAGCACTCTCATTAAGACACCAGGGCAGGATACTTACAATACAGCAGTGCCAGGAACAGATGGACTCTGCCGTTCTTTGGGACATGGGAAAAATGGCTCCCCTGTTCTCTGCTAGGATTGAGCGAGCCGTCAGCGTCGCGGTGGCTGTCAGACATTTCTCGGGCCCCCGGACCACGCCGCTGGGCACCACACCATGGGCACAGCCAGGCTGGGGATGTCTGGAGAACACAGCCATGCGAAGAGAGAAAGCAGTCCCTGTTTCTCCCTTAGGCACCGCGTGAACCTAGATGCCAGGCCCATTTTATGTCGTTGTGTGGAGCTCTGCTATGCTTTTCCTTTTCTCCTTTCTTTGGGAAGACACCACCGAGCATGTGGAGCGCCAGAAAAGCGTCTTGACCGGCACTCCAGTGTTTCCTAATGAAGCCACTTTTCCATTGCATCCTTTCTGTTTGTTTTTTTGCGCAGGCCGTCTGCTCGCTGCCCGCAGCACCATGGATCTGCACCTCTTCGACTACTCGGAACCAGGGAACTTCTCTGACATCAGCTGGCCATGCAACGGCAGCGACTGCCTCGTTGTCGACACGGTGCTGTGTCCCAACATGCCCAACAAGAGTGTGCTCCTGTACACGCTGGCCTTCATTTACATCTTCATCTTCGTGACCGGCATGATCGCCAACTCCGTGGTGGTCTGGGTGAACATCCAGGCCAAGACCACCGGCTACGACACGCACTGCTACATCCTCAACCTGGCCATCGCCGACCTGTGGGTGGTGGTCACCATCCCCGTCTGGGTGGTCAGCCTTGTGCAGCATAACCAGTGGCCCATGGGAGAGCTCACGTGCAAGATCACCCACCTCATCTTTTCCATCAACCTGTTCGGCAGCATCTTCTTCCTCACGTGCATGAGCGTGGACCGCTACCTCTCCATTGCCTACTTCGCCGGCACCTCGAGCCGCAGGAAGAAGGTGGTCCGCCGTGCCGTCTGCGCACTGGTGTGGCTGCTGGCCTTCTGCGTGTCCCTGCCCGACACCTACTACCTGAAGACCGTCACGTCGGCGTCCAACAACGAGACCTACTGCCGCTCCTTCTACCCCGAGCACAGCGTCAAGGAGTGGCTCATCAGCATGGAGCTGGTCTCTGTGGTCTTGGGCTTCGCCATCCCCTTCTGCATCATCGCCATCTTTTACTGCCTGCTGGCCCGAGCCATCACCGCATCCAGCGACCAGGAGAAGCAGAGCAGTCGCAAGATCATCTTCTCTTATGTGGTGGTCTTCCTTGTGTGCTGGCTCCCCTACCATGTGGTGGTGCTCCTGGACATCTTCTCCATTCTCCACTACGTCCCCTTCACCTGCCAGCTGGAGAACTTCCTCTTCACGGCTCTGCACGTCACACAGTGCCTGTCGCTGGTGCACTGCTGCGTCAACCCCGTCCTCTACAGCTTCATCAATCGTAACTACAGGTACGAGCTGATGAAGGCCTTCATCTTCAAGTACTCGGCCAAGACAGGTCTCACCAAGCTCATCGATGCCTCCAGGGTGTCAGAAACAGAGTACTCCGCCTTGGAGCAGAGCACCAAGTGATGCGCCTTGTGGGGTCTCCGGGACAAGTCTGCTTGCTTTCTCCATGGCACTGGCTTGCATCGTTCCCAAGAGTAAAGCAAGGTGGCTTCAGGGTTTGAGGCCGGAGTCGCGTGGAGAGGGGAACGGGGGCCGCTGAGCATCCTTTCCCTCTTTCTCGGGCCGTGGCGGTGGCTCTCGTGCAAGGCTGTGCGTCCTGATGCGTCCACGGTCCGTCGTGTGTCTAATCCTGCCTCGGGGCAGGCTAGCCTGCACTTCTGTACAATAGGACGTTCTGTGTTCCCTGGAGGTTTTACATGGTGATTTGTATTTAAATCTTAAGACTTTTATTTTCTCATTATCGGTGTACCTTATAAATGTATTGAAAGTTTAAATATATTTTAAATATTGTATGGGAGCTATAACGCTGACATATATTCAGAGTGTTGTAGTTTTAAGGCTAGTTGGATTTCAGTTTTGACTAAGGATGACATTAATTGTTAGCTGTTTTGAAATTTTATATATATATATATATATATAAATCTATAAATCTATAAATCTATGCCAGTCCTGGCTGAAATGTTTTATTTACGATAGTTTTATATATGTGTGGTGCTCTGTACCGGCATGGGATATGGAACAGGAATAACTCTGTAAAGCAGTTTGTGATATTCATAGTTTTGTAAAGTTACATTAAAAAGAAGCAAAATGGAGCAAAACTGTTCCAGGCTGCAATGCTGTGCACAAAATGAACAGTCTCGTTTCAGAGAGTTCTCTCAATTTTGTAAGTTATTATTTTTTTTTTAAATAAAGATTTGTTTCTCCTAAAAAGGCATCTGAGTGTCCGCGTTAAAAGCATGTTTGGCATTCAGGTGGCGTGTGTGATAATAATAGCACAAATCTATACCGCATGTCAGCTTGACCTAATATGCTTAAGGAAAGAGTGCTACCATAAAGGCAAAACCCAAGGGGTTAACTTGGATGCAATGACATAAAAGGAAAAACATTCGAGCGTATTGAGGGTTTTGGTTTTTTAAAAAAATGTCATGCAACGTATTTGCGGGAGAAGAGATGGCTGATAGGTGTGGCTTTCAAGACCACGCTGGTGCTAGAAGGTTCTCGGCTGCTGTTGGCCCAGAGCTGTTCAGGACCCAGGACTCACATCATTATGTGTACCCCCGTGTGCCCCCAGGGCCGCATGTCACAGCCCCTTGATACTTCCCTGCTAAGGTTCTGTGGTTTGAATCCTGTTTCTCTTCCTGTGTACAGGACAAACTCTTCATTTAAAAAATAACACCAATCAGTGACCATCTTCTTGAGACCCAGCAATGAGCAAGTTGTCAGCCTGTGCATTACCAAATAAATCCACTTGACGAGTGGCTTCAAAGAGCACGGTCAGAATGGCCAGATCTGCTGTGCCCGCACCAATGCTCTGTGGGTCCACAAGAAAGAATGGTGTAGGCCTTAGCAGGCAGGTGCATCTGGGCGGGCAGGGGGGACGGACCGGCTCCCCAAAGCTGCCCTTACCACCTCCACCTCTGATGGGACTGATTTGCACAGGGAGCTATTTGCCAACACAAGGATGGACCCCGGCCAGGAGCTCCCCCCTCACCTATGAGCTTGGGGGCTGCTACCATATTGGAAAATCCTTGTGCACCTCGCCCTCCCCACCCCCGACAGCCCCCCAGGGCCCATAGACCAAGCCTGCTGCAGGACGGCTCCTTATGGCTGAGAGTTTTCCAACCAGGATTATAAATTACTCTAAATATCTACTTGATACACACACATGTTCTCAGGTGCATATGTGCCTTGCCTTGTTCCAAACAGCGTTCCGGTTGGATCACAACAGTGTAGCTAGTGGGACAATAGCTTAACTAATTGCCTCCAGGGTGTCAGAAACAGAGTACTCCGCCTTGGAGCAGAACACCCAAGTGACGCGCCTTGTGGGGTCTCCGGGACAAGTCCGCTTGCTTTCTCCACGGCACTGGCCAAGATCCCAAGAGCCAGGGCAAGTAAGAGCAGATGGCACAGAGAAGTCCTTGATTCATGCCCCAGACAAGTGTTCCTGACAATAGGAAAGGATTGCAGTTTGCTCCGAGCTTCCTAGTGGTCTAAGTCCAGACAGAAATAAGCTCTACCAAGTAATAAATTCAAGGTGGAGGCAGAAGCCATAAATAAGCTCAGCTGTGCAGTAGGTGTAATATAAGAAGTAATTCCACCGAATTTCTATTTCGAGGTCCCATATCCATCAGTTCAGGGATGCTCCCCACCCCTGCCCAGTTACCCTGGGATTTTGGGCAAACTCTGCAGGCAGTGATGTAGGGAAGTGGGGGTGGTCCTCACTGTCTGTTCCTGCCAGGAACTTCAGAAATGCCCACCATCGCCTGCCTGGTGCTTATGCAGGTCTCCTCTGTCCTCTTATTGCAGGGTCTTTTTCTGTTGCTCCCCAACCCCACGTTGGGTTATGGGGGTGGGACTTGGTGGCCTGCCCTGGCCCTTTTCTGGTTTCTGACCACCCTTCGCCCACAACAATCACCCAGCTCCCCCTCCTGCACTGAGGGGTGGAGGGCAGGCGTGCAGATGCTGAACTGATTCTAGACAAACCATGCAGCCCTTTTTGCTTTGTGGGATTCCCATCTCCGCCCAGACCCCAGGACACGGTGCCCTCAGACCACGGTGGGGTCTCTGGTGTGCAAGCTCCGTCTCAGGGATGCTGCGGTGACGAAGCTCTCTCTGCTCCTAGAAATCCCTTTCTTTGCCCTGCCTGAGGCTTGAAGACTTGCTCTGTTTCATCCCGGTTATCCAGACTCCAAAGCCCTTCCTTTGATCTCTGGCTGTAACAGCCTTCCCGGGACCTCTGGCTCTGGACTGTGGCATTGCAGGTGGAGTGTGGAGGCACGGGTCAAGGGGTACAGAACTCTGAGGGGGGGCGGGTAATGAGTTAATATTAAAGAAATTCTGTCCTACCCATGTGGATGTAGATGTAGATGTGGAGTTGGGAGAAGGAGCCATGTGCCGGGTTTTAGATAGGAGATGGGCTGTAGGGGGAAGAAGTTTGGTGCAGAAGCCCCGAGCTCTCCTCAAATTCATTGTCCAGAGAGCCCGAAGCTGACATTTATCCCTTTTGAGGTTCATTCGCTTGGCATCCCTTCTGATGGAAAGATCTTTGAAAATGCTAGCCTCACGAGATGGTAGTGAAGCTGTGAGTGATTTTTGCGCACGATGGCATTTGGACCCCAGGAGGGGTGGCTGGAGCTCCAGCAGAGGGTGGGGTGTGGGATGGAGAGAGAAGCGGCCTGGAGCCCCCACGCCACTGGAGAGAGGGGGAGGCTTTCCTCCTCTCCCGCCTTCCTCTGACCCTGCTCCAAAGGCAGAGGTCGGCCAACACCAGTGGCCCTGATCTGATGGCGGCTTGCGTCAGGGAGTCACTCGTGAATGCTTTCCATGTGCGCCAACGTATACACAGCTTCCTGGGTCCCCGTGAGTGAAGAAGAAAAGTATCGCAGCCGGAAACACCAGATGTAAAATCCTGTGGGCATCAAGGAATAAATCTGTCCCCTGGATGATGGACTTCAGCCCTCCCAGTAGGCTCAGGGCAACCTGGCATGAGACCCTGCAGACGCTTGTGTCCAGATCTCTTACTGGGTAACAAGAAATTTAAAGTCGACAAGCTGGCTGTTTCTGGAGGTCTGAGGGAGCAGCTCGAGCATGTGGCCTATTTATGAGGCACCTGGAAATTCTGCCTTGCTGGGCTTCTTCTCCCTGGGTCCAGGTGACTCCCTATCCACGCTAAGCCCAGCATCTCAGAACCTGGGGACCCAGGGGGAGCTGTGGATGGGCACCAGATGGGGTCGAATGCAAAGGATGATAAGTGCAGGGAGGTCCCCACAACCCCCTCCTGGAGGTTTGGGCTTCGCTCCTAAACCCCAGGCATGTCTCTGGGTGGATGCCTGCCCCTGACGTTTCAGTCCTCCCAGGGTGATGGTTTCCGGGGGGTTAAATGCTTGAGAAGGTCGGCCAGTGTTCGAAAGCACTTCCCACCCCATGTCTTAGTCCCAGAATTCCCAGGGAAAGCCCCTTACATCCTGGATGGTGCACAGATATGCAGTTCCTGTGAGCAGCCCCAAATCTTGACACCAATAGCCCTGGAGATGGAATGATTGTAGTTTGGCTAAGGCGTTATAGGAAACCGACTTACTTATTGTAGGCAGTTTGCATTTGCAACGATTCTTCAGTTTCGTGGGATGTAACCCCATCCTAAGCTGGGAAGACCTGTGTATCCAACCTCTGGTGCACTCACATTATTTTCCAGGCTTGTTTGGTGGGTATGAGTGGGTTTCTGTTCACCTGTGTATGGCTGCACGTCACGGAGCCCATAGCCTCTGTCTAGATTCCCCAGGGCCAGGCTTTTCAAGGTCTGAGATAAATGGCCACGGGGGAGGATTCTCACTGAAGGAGGGGATGGTCATCTGTATGGGACGGGGAGAGTGATGGGCAATTTTGGCGTTTTTCTTATTTTTCAAAAGCTTCATTTTTGTTGGCTTTTCATATGCTTATTCCCTCAGACCTTTCCATGTGGGATTCAGCACGGCTGCCAATCATATGTCATTTCTCCCGACGTGTTGGGGGACACGCGGTGATCATCAGCCGTTTGTCACAAGATAATGTGCCAAAAGCCACAGAATGGAAAGATCAGAATTTCCATAGTTATTTCCGGAACTAAACTGATTAAAATCATTTCCTAGGTAGGTCGGAATCTTCCCTTTAACAAGTTTCAGAAGAAACAGTAAAGAGAGCGTCATTGTGGCAATGGCATTAAATCTGCTTGGGTGACTCAGAATGTATGTTGGCACGGCAACATATCATGGGGCGAGCCGCAAACACGACGTGTCGGTGGCCGCCGCACGTCTGAAAGAGCCCCGGGCTCTGCTATACCATGCTGGATTTGCTTCCTTTTAGCCTTTCACATGAAAGTGTTTGAAGCTAATCTTTTCATTCCCTTTTGCAGCGCTGTAATCAATAGGAAGAACGCATTAAAGGTTTTCCCGCCGCTGCATTTCTCAGGGCCCTTGTTGAAAGTGCGGATTGTGTTTTATGCGGTCCTGTAATGAGAATTTGAATTTCGTGTGGAGCCTGAAGTGTAAATGAAAAGTCGTCAGTGGCCCAGCTGTGCAACCGATGGATGTCTTTCTCTGCAATTTATTCCACACTTGTTTCCGTTAATGTATTCATCCATCCATGCACTTGTTCATTCAATCACGGATCCCACGAGCTTTGTGCAGTGCCCACTGTGTGCCAGGCACTGTGCTTGTCTTAAAAATGTCAGAGACGGCCAGGGCTTTGTTTTTCCTTTTGATAGGCTCCCAGCCTGGAAGGGGAGATGGACAATGAGACTTAGAGAAATCGTTACAGGGCAGTGTGGTGAGAAGGATCCTGGTGGCCCTTTTCTGGAAATAGAGCTGACGGGAGGGAGTGAGCCTTTACAGGAGGAATCAGGGAAGGCTTACAAAGAAGGGGTGCTCCTATCCCAGCCCGAGGATGGCCGGACTCCAGTAGGCAGGCCCAGGGGACACGGGGCGGGATGGCGGACTTCGGGAGAGTCGTTGGGATGCCGTCACTGTTAAGAGTAAATGTGTTACGGAAAGGGGAAGGCATCCGAGAGGTGGCCAGAAGTTAACGAATGGTGACATCATTCATCACTGTGTGATAGGAGCTGATTTCTAAGTGGGAATTAAAGGTCTGAATGGCCACCCCCACCCCCACCCCCACGGAAAATGAGGCTTTAGCACAAGAACGTCCGGGGAGTGGTGAGAGAGGCTTTAGGGGGACTCTGCA